TATATATAAAAGCAAGTCTTGACTGTTAGCAATGTCCAAATAGATTTCCATCCTGCGATGGCACAGTACTCACAAGAACAGACATTTTTCTATCAAAGAGAAAACTCCTCCTTTGTTGCTGGTTGTTTGGTCTTGAAGTAGCACAGTCCTGGCACCTTTCTACTGCAGAAGAAACCTGGTGGCTTCTGACGATTTCTGTGCTTCTGTTGTTGGCTGTTACGTGGCCAGCCAGATCTGTGTGCCGAGAAATGAGTCAGAGGCTGTCGTGCTGTGTGGAATTATGGCCTGACTTAGGAGGGAGCTTTATCATGTTCTTACTGGAGGGAAATAAACTGGCCTGTGCTGAAGGTGAGTCCTAGCGGTGTCTGCCATAGCCTGGCTTTAGTGCTCAGTGTACTTGTAGTCCTTCAGGAGCCCATTCAGGGCTCAGCTTGGCCTTGCCAAGACAGACTGGGAGATTCTTTGGAGGGGAAAATCTTGACTTCCTTGACTGGTTATTCTGTGAGGCAAGTAGAAAAGAGGAAAAATTACCTGTTCACTTGCCAGTACAGGGGTTTATAGCAGGCGCACGTTAAAAAGCAAATTGTACTGCAGATCTTTTGAGATTTTGCCGATCTCGATCATCCATCCTGTAGATGGAAAGGGCTGCTAGAGCAGGGATCTAGCTGGAGCTGAATTAGTCTGTTTTGGCTTTGGTGGTTTGGTTTTTTTACTTATTGTTTTGTTTTGCTTTTTTAAGCTGCTGTAGTGCTTTGATTACTTCACGTGTGAAATGCTGAGTGAAGTGGGACATGAACTAGTTAACTCCTCAAGTTGCTTTGACAACATGCACAAAATTTCTGCTAGCCATCTCCATCCTCAGAGCGCTTTAAGAGGCCTGCAGCCTCTCTGGAGCACAGGAAGCTGTGCTAAAGGTAAAGTCACTGGCGTGTAGAAAGAAGAAATCGGGTTGCAAGCAGTGCGTCTCACACTGGGAGTGTGCGTGGAAGAAATGTTTTAGTTGAGACTACAACAGAGATTTATCTGAGGCTGCATGGAGATGCTTCTGAGGAGGGTGGAGACAAAAGGACCTCATGGAAGCTCTAGAGTTTCTGTTTATTTCTTGCTTGTTTTTTTGAAAGTGGAAATCGCTCCCAGCTAATCCCTGATTGAACTGACTGTCCTCCTTTATAGCCTGTAAATCACTTTTCCCATTAAACACAAAACTGAGAAAACAAGGTAGGCTGGCAGCTTAGGGATATGGTAACACCTCTGCTGGAAATGTAGGCAGGAGTAATTGCTTCTAGAATGCTCAGCAAACAAACCAACCACTTAATTAAGAATAATAAGTCAAGTAAGGGAGGGAAACATTTGAACATCTATTCCTTGCAGTAGCTGAACTTGCAGGCAGGTTATGGTTGCTCGGGGACATTCTTCCTCATTACTTGAACACTGTGTAGGGGTTCTAATGGCACAACGGGGGCTTCTGTTAAACAGAAATTATTTCTGTGCTGGTCTGATGTGTAGAAGAGCAGGTGGTCTGTGGTGGGAGGAAAGATTCCTGTCAAGTACTGTAGTGCAGGTGAAACTCTAAAGGTCACAGTGATTGCCCTGGATTTTGGCCCTCAGGAGTTAGATGGATCTTAACTTTTCTGGTCATTCCTCTGTTGTGGACTTTGCTTCCTGAAGGATTCTCCCAGCCTATGTTTGCAGTTGGGACTGTGGTTCAGGCAATTACCCAAACTTGTTCCAACAAGTGGTAGGACTTGCTTGAACCGGAGCCAATATTTGGCTGGTCTCAAATATACGTCCTGCTGGGGTAAGAGATCTGTATCTTGAACCAAGGCTGAGAGAAGCCGGTTCCTACGGTCAGTCTCCTGTGCTGTTAGTGTGGGCTGGGTTCTCAGCAGGCTTCAGAAAGGGCAGAGTTCCTGTGCAAAGCCTGAGCCTGATCTGAGGCACCCAGGCGATCTCTGTGCTTTGTCCCACTTTTAGCTTATGGCAGCTCTCTGTAACGAGAGGCTTGGTGAGACTAGGGAGCTGACCAAACTGGAGTTTTTATTTGGGCTAAATCTGGGGGATTTAGCCACAAAAAACCCTAATATTTATAAGTGGGGAGATGATCTCGATGTTGCTGACCAGCCCATTCAAATATGTCACAAGGCTCAGAAAATGATGGTTAAACCTTTTAAGAATGACTTGATGTTTGACACTGAGGAAAAAATGCAAGGCTAAAAGCATCCCAGATGCACAAAATTCAATTACTTGGCAGTGCAGTTTGATTTTTAGTGTATTTTGCAGTACATTAGTAATTGATCTGTGCAGCACTTACGACTGCAGAGGAGCTCTAGATGAATGTCTGCCATGATTGTTACAAAATGTTCAATGCTGGGAATGAAATTTCTCCTTGCTGTGATTGTTCATCTGATTTATGGCTAATGGAAAATAACTCTCCTGTTCCTTTCTATAGAAAATTGATCTTGGTCCTTCTTTTAAAAAAAGTCCCAGTAAGAGGAATTGTTCTGTTTAAAAAAACCCAACCAAACAATATGAAGTTAAGCCACGGTGAGAGCTGCTGCCTGGGGTACGTGCTTGACGCACCTCCTGTGGCGCAGACCGTTAGGGTTGTTGCACTGTGGTCGTTCTGTGGCAGCAGCTCTGTGCCCAGGAGGCAGCCGCACTTGCACTCCAGAAGTGAATGTTTCTCAGGGCCCAAAAGGTTCCTCGTCCAAGTGCTTTTAAGCCCAGAAATTCATTGGCAAATCTATTTCCAGCTTCCTTACTTTCTCTCTTCCCTTGCATGTCATCGGTGGCCCTGCTGCCTAAAGGAATCTCCCAACTCATTCTGTCATTTGTGTTGTGCATATATTTGTTGGGGTTTTCTTGGTAGAAGCTGGAGTTCCCAGGTGGTTTACCATCCAGTTCCTGGACAGGCTGAGAGAGGTTTGGTTTCCAAATGATGCAAAAGAGGATGTGTTTAGTCTGCTATGTGCCACCCAGCTGTGCCACTGAGTCTTTTAATGACTTTTGTAAAAGTCACTCTGTGTCCCATTTTCCTTAGCTGTAAAATAGTGATTAAGCCTGTGAGGCTTAATGTGGAACTTGATTCTGCTAAACACCTTCTGAAAGAGGTGCAGTTTTGTGGGAAGCTTTCCTCTAGGCTGCTTGTTCTGGATGTTCATCTTCCAGGACAAGCTTGTCCCTGAGACAATGAATATCTGTCTGATCCATGAGTTCCCCTCTTCTTGTGCCCTACAGTGGAATGGACCGGTATTTTGAATTCTGCAGTCTGACACCAGTCCAGCTAAGCATACACTTGTTTTAGTGGCTGAGCTGTACAGTTGCAACAGAAGTTAAACACCTATCAAAGGTCACAGCTGGATGGGAGCCAGCATGCTCAGCAGCAAGCCATGAGCAAACACTGAGGAGAGAGGTGATCCTTTCCATATTGGTTAACTGCAAGATGCAATAGGTGGAAGAATAGAACAGTGATATGGAGGGAGCCAGGGTGATCCCACAGTAAGAGCAGCACGTGTTCTGCTTGCAGTGAGGTTTGCCAGCTGCCTTGCCCTTCATTATGAGCACAATGCTTTGCAAGTGTTAGAAAGAAAAAGAGCATCAGGATACCAGTAAAAGTATCTTGACAGCTGGAAATGGGAGAGGGCCAGGAATAATTACAATGTGTGAGGCATGAAAGAAAAGTATCTTGACAGCTGGAAATGAGAGAGGGGCAGGAATAATTACAATGTGTGAGGCATGAAAGGCAGGTGTCCTAGGTGTTACCTGTATAAGCATCAAGCCTTTTCCTTCTGTATTTGAGTCTCTCAATGTGCGTTTCTCTAGGCGCAGACAGCAAGCTTGGTGCTGGAAGATGGGACGAAGATGAAGGGCTATTCTTTTGGGTATCCATCCTCCACAGCAGGGGAAGTCGTATTCAACACTGGCCTTTGTGGGTAAGGCAAAAGCAAATGAGTTATGAAGTCCACAATTTACCTGGGAGTTTGTTACAATATGAAAGTTACTTTTTCCAAGCTCATAGGGCCCCGATCCAAGCACATAGTGTTCTGTGTAGAAAACACTGCAGTCCAGAGATGCAGAGACAAAGCTGATTAATGAAGAGACTTCTGGCAGTCCTCTTGTGTCATTTGTGGTGATGGGCAACTTTACAGACTGATATAGCTAAGCATGACAGTGGGGTATGTAGGGATCTGATCACTCCCCATTGAAATGTGGCCACTGCTGAGTCAGAGCAGAGGAGCTGTCTTTGTTCTCCCTCCAGTGCCCTGGTCAAATACAGAGGTTTGCAGCATCTGCAGCCTTATGGGTAATGGAACTTGGCTTCCAAGTGCAAAATTTTTAAATCCTGAGGTTCCCAAGTTTGCTACCTCTATGCCCCATCCTTTATGACGTCTGTTGGCTCATACCACCGCTAAGGATGCATTTCAACTCTGTGCCCTTTCCAGCTGAAGGGTAGGATCAGATTCATGCCTAACCTAGCATGACTCTGTCCTCTTGAGTAGTGGAACCTAGTGGCTGTCTTAGGATGGCAGTCAAATGCTGCTGGTGCTTTTATTGAACTACTTGAGCAGAGGAAATCTGCCCGGAGGAACGAGGCTTTTGGCTAGGAGAAGGATATGTCCCTGGGGAAGTGAGACAACGCTGAGGTTGCTTGTGCTTGAGCTTTTTCTGCAGTCATTCACAGCTGTCTTTACCCAGCTACCTTGCATTCCCAAGTTCTGCTCTCCTTTGGAGAAACCAGTAGTCCCTGGATGAGTTTTTAAACTATCTCATTGGTGAGAATGTTAAATTGCCGTGGAGAGGAATCTGTCTGCAAAGTTTTACGTTAGGAGGCAATTATTTAAGTATTTTGACAGCACTAATTACTGGCTGTGTTAACATACCTGCCAACAAACAACTGTTTAATATAGATCAGAGTGATGGAGGGCACCAGAGTTCTTTTCTTGGTGATAGATTATGGGCAATAAATCTTGTCACATCACAAAAGTCAAGGAAGACCTGATGGATTAATTTCCTCTCCACATGTTACTGTGGCAGCAGAAGCTGTGTTTGCTCATTTTCTAGTGATTTGGAGAGGACGTCTGTGCAGGAGAGATCTCCCCTGCACTAGAGAGCATATGGGCACGGAGGGAATGTTCAAAATGTGAAGTTGTATCTTCAGAGCACTCTTCAGGGGCATGACCTTGGTTGATTCAGAGAAGAGGATGGTAAGAGTTTGCAGCGTTGTCGCAGATCACAAAAGTGACAGATTTGCTGCCAGTCCAGGGATTATTGTCCAGTGAAACTCACTCTCTAGCTCTGCCCAGTGCTCCTGAGCACAGAGATCAAGACCTTATGCATCCAGAGGAACCAACTGCCTCTTTTCACTGACGCAGTAAGAGGCCCGCTTCATGCCTGCGTGAAGGAGGTGCCCAGGGTTGGAGCCTTTTACAGCCTGTCTGTCTGGACACACAGCAATTTGCCAGTACAGGGAGCAAGAGGCTGGGCCGGAGGTGATTTTGCCATGGCTACTGTTAAGCCTCAGACCAATGCTTTTTTGTGAAGTGGGTGTTTCTAGATGCTGAGTGGGGTCAGCATGGGCTCTGTACTGGGGTGATTAATATGCTGCTCTGCACCTTGTCTCCTCATCTGGACTCCCACATTCTGATTCATGTCATAGAATGGGGAGGCAAAACACTTTGTGTGTACAGCTTTCAGGCTTGAAGTAGCTAAAGCTGGCTGAAATGTTGTCATATCACTTTAGAACAGAGGGCAGAGAGCACTGGTTTTGGGGTGGAATGTTGAATTCTCATTAGAAAAGCATGAGGATGAACTTTTCAGAAACACTTGCTCAAAAAAAAAAAAGAAATCCTAGTGTTGCAGCCATCTGTTTGGTATAGGAAACAGAAAGGAAGAGAGGAGATTTCCAATTAAGAAATAAGAATAATTGCAACCCATAAAATGTTCCCATGTTTGAAAGAGCTCAGTAAATGCATTTGCCCGCAATACGTCTGTGTGTGTTTCCCACAATATTCTAGCAAGAGAAGTGATTGACAGGAATTTACAGAAAACAGGCAGACCTTTGGGCAGGCACAGCAAGGATTGGACCTCACAGCCTCTTTGGAGCCTGTGCTCCCGCCTGCTCCTCTGCTCCACAAGGCGTTGTGCTGCTTTAAAGAGCGTTGTGTTTCAGTGCAGAACTGTGCCTTCACACCCCGGCCAAACCCAATGGCTCTCTGTCCTTGTTTGCGGATTACAAATAACATGCAAAGGTTAATTACATCAGCTTTGTCATTAACAAAGAGGCTTTTGGAAGCGTAACCAATTGACTTGGAACGAGAGAGCAATGCCAAATATGCGCGTGCCGTGCACTTACTGCAGTTCTGTGATCACACTGCGCTTTGTGGGGTTGTTTACCTGCAGCAGGAAGTAGAGATTTCAACAGCAGGAGAGGCTTACCTGAAAATATTTCATGGCCATTGTTCATTCGATGTGTCATTTCTCAGAGCTGGCTGCTGTGCTGCGTTGTCTGTATCTGCCTGCGACCATTGCAGGTTTTGTGAAGATTTTCCCAATGTTTGACAATTAATCTTCTGGCAGCAAGTCCAATGTTCCATAAAAATGTCTCTTGTGACTTGCTGATATCTGGTAGATGGCTGGAGTTGCCAATTATGTATTGTTTAAACAGTAATGACTATAATAAATTATATTGTGTGTAGGGCAGATTCATCCTGAAGTGTCTACGCATTTGGCTAAATATTTGTGTGGCTAACTTCATCTGTTTCTAAATTACAGCTGCTTTGGGGTTGATTGTGAACATGTAGAGCATGTTTACCCTGCCCCCCTCTGGGGTGGAAAGTGAGACTGGACCTGCTGGATCCAGAGCTGATACTTTACGAAATCCCAGGTTTGACCCACCCCTGCAGAAGAATGTTCCACAAGGCTTTTAGATCAGTCCTTGCTGAGAAGAGTATTCAGGCAGGTTCTTGAACAAAGTTGCTGTTCCTAGGGCTCCTGTCTGGGCTAAAGATACAAGGACATGCTCTGGGGGCTCGTGACCAGGGTGGACTGTTGAATCCCAGAGCACTTCACTCTTCAGAGATACACAGACTGACTTCCAAGCACTTAGAGGAGGGGTCTTGTCAGGTGAAATACGTGGGGCATTCACAGGGGCTTCCCTGATGCCCAGGCAAAAAGTTAGGCCTGTTACCTGCTCCCCTCTCCAGAAAGGGCAGTTACAGCCCTGAACATCTCAAGATCCACAAGTTCCATACTGAGGAAGGGACCAAGCCTGGGCAGCTCTGTTGTCTGTAGGCTTTTCAGTTTGAGCTTTCTATTAGCACTGAGAGGGACAAGTTCTTGTCCTGCATGGAGGGAAGGACACAGCAGTGAGAAAGCACTGCCCGCATGCTGTGCCCAGGGAACGACCAAGCGCAAGTTGCTATCTGTTCTCAAGTGATATACCTTGCACCTACTGCAGTTCTGTGGTCGCTCTGCACTTTGTGTAGTTGTTTACCTGGCATTACACCACAGGGAGTGTGAATTTGTTGATGGCTCCTCTGCTTTTCTTAAATAAAAAATGAGAAGCCAAAGCCTTTCTGTGTTCTCAGTGTCAAATGTTCAATCATGGATGGCAAAGTCAAGACAGATTCATGGATGTGTTTGCTTTTATACTGAGAGTGCTTTTACATGAATACCATTTCTGTCTTTTTGTCATATGGGAATTCAGACCTGTCTTGTTTTCACTGGCTCTTTTGTTTTCCGTTCAACTCCAGACCAATGTACTTTTCTTCTATTGCGTCTTCATCTAGATACACCGAAGCCTTGACAGATCCCAGCTACAAAGGACAGATTCTTACACTGGCCAACCCCATAGTTGGGAATGGGGGAGTGCCTGACACAGCTGCTGTGGATGAAATGGGCCTTAAGAGGTTTCTGGAGTCCGATGGGATCAAGGTAACAGTGGGAGATGCACAGCTGATGAAAGGACGGTGCCAGCAGCCTGTGTGTGTGTGTGTGTGTGAGAGTGTGCATGTATGCATGCAAGATTTTTCTGGCACCCTCATAGAGGTTGGAAGGGATCAATGATACTCAGCCTTTCTTTTTCTTCTTTCCTCCACCTTTGGAGGAATGGTGGCTAAAGAGAATCCATCTTGGTTTGTATGCCAGGCCATGCACTGACTGAAAGCGGTGTATTTATCATCACTGATATGCATGCCACATTTTTTTGTGAACTGCTGTCCTAGGTGGATTTTTCCCCACATTCCATTCTGCCTCCTATTTATCTGTGTTTGCCCAGGACTGGTTGACACAGACAGATCAGATACCAGTGAGAATGAAAAGTTTCTGTGTGCTGAGACTTTTGTCTATGTGCCTGTACTACCACGAACAGGGCAGTTGACAGCTGTGTGGAGAAGGCTGTACATGCCAGTGCAGGAACCAGTGTTCACATTGTGGTGACAGGCCAGGAGAAGGGCTGTGTCCCTGTGGTGGTGGCTGTACTGAAAAATGAAGCAAACCCATGTACCTGCAGAACTAGTGAAATGCTTTGTCTGTCCTGAGGTGAAATGACTCCTTTACTGGGTATCTAACTCCGCTGGAAAACGGAGTTGACTTTTGAAATGAAATGGCACTTAAAAGTGTAAAGCTTTCTTAAACAAAACATGAGTTTAAATAAAACATTTTGTCTTGTCTTAAATTTCCATTTGCTTCCTAACGAGAAGTTTTTTCTCGGTTCAATGCAGCTTGCAGCTTTGATTACCTGGAAGCCACTCTGTTCTATGAATTTCCAAATTAAGATGGCTGAGGTACAATCATGACAGAGCACTGAAGATTTATGCCTTTGCCAGGTGCCTGTTTTGTGCACTTCCTCTGCAAAGACTCAGGTTTACTATCTTTTTGTGATATAAGAGCAGCCCGTGTCTGCCTAGCCTCATGTCCTGTCCATGATACGATTTGCAGTGGATGAATAAAACTCGGAAGGTGTGGGTCAAGTACAGAGTGATCCTTCAAAGTGACGTTTCTTCTCTCTGCAGGTTTCAGGTTTGCTGGTGCTGGATTACAGCAATGAGTACAGCCACTGGCAGGCTGCTCGGAGCCTGGGAAACTGGCTGCAGGAAGAGCAGGTGAGCAATCCAGGAGTAACTACATTATAAGAACAGACCTGTGCATATCAGACCTGGGGAAAGAAATGCTTTGAGTTGGTAACCACTCCTCCAGTGTCTCTACCAGTCTGTATTAGGCTCATTCTGTGTTCCTTATTTGTCTGATTCTTCATCCATTTCTTTTGCAGGCTGCAATGATATTTCCAAGATCTGTCCAGGTGGAGTGTTAATTAAATGGGGATGTTTGGTTCTCCATAAAAAAACAATGCAATTTAGATTATATTCAGTTCTCTCATCAAATCCATCTGTACTGCTGCTCCCAGTGGTTGCCATGACAGTAACCTCAAGAGATATTATTGCTGGAATCCTCTGACTTGAAGCTGTGGGAGTCAAGGATGTGCCAGTAAACTGCCCCTGTCTTGTGGCAGTGAGGAGGGTTAGGTGCTTGTACATAAGGCAAAATGAGGCTCAGAAATGATACAGATATTTGCCACGTGAGCTTTTTATTTTGTACTTTTTAGTGCAGAAACGAGACCATTTGAAGAACTAAGCAATTTGAGAGTGGGAATAGGGAGGAGAAGTGAAGAACTGGAAGTGAGGCAGCTTTGGTAATAGTGCTGCTACAAGCCAGAGCTCCTTAAATAAGGACATCATCTTCTCAGCAAAGTGATCTGGCTGCTGTCTTCCTCTGTCTTGGCTGCTTGTTCTCTAACTTATCCTTCTCTTGTGTTTCCTTCAGGTGCCTGCGCTGTATGGGATTGATACCAGAATGCTGTCCAAATTAATTCGTGACAAGGTATGATCTGCTTCCCTTGATCCAGTTGCATTACCTTTGCCATTCCTGGACCCTTTTCCTAACAGCGCAGCAAACCTGTGGTAGCAATGCAGCTGCTAGGCTGCCTTAACCTCAGATGTTGCTCAGACCCCTGTGCTCTTCCAAAGGCCCTGTGTTCTGTTCTGCTGACACAATGCTCTGATCCCAGGGAGTTCCCTCTCCTTGGCTCTGCTCTGAGTTTCCCGATCTGCAGAAGTGAACCAGCACAAGCTCGTGTAAATGAAAGGCCTCAGGTGGCTGTGTCAGACACAACGGGTGGTAGTGCCAACTACATGTTGCCTCAGACAGTGATAGAGAGAGCAAAAATTCTGAGATAACGTGGATATTAGTTCACAGACAGCACCTCCTTTGGTCAACAGAAATTGTCCTGCTCCTCAGAGGCAAAGGAGTGTCTACAGTAACCTAAGATGGATTCCTGACTCAGGTTGGTTTTCTTTGGCTGTTACTATTTTTAATAGTCATTACTTTTCTCTGGTCTCCAAGAGCTGGCAATTGAAGGACATTAGCAGGATTATGTTACTGAATGGAGGTTAATGCTAAGATGCACCACAAATTGGCTAAAACAGTGATCAAAGCCATTCTGAATGTAAGTGCACCTTGGAAGCTCTTTTGTAATGGATTATTTGAAGCTGGTCTTTTCTTTAGGTGATCAGTTTGCAGACTGCAGTACAAGCCCACACCTCATTCCTTCCACGCTGTGAAATATGAATGACCCAGCTTGACCAGAGGAATATTTGTAGAAATGAATTCTTATGGGAAGATAGGGCATTGTCCTGCACTCACAGACAGCAGGCAAGTGCAGTTTAATACAATAGAAAGTGACAATACATTTCCTACTTTCTTGAGGCGTACTGTTTAATGGATCAACATTCCTTTAATCCATAGTGAATATGCATTCAATGTTTATCAGGTAACAGTATGGTAGTAATGCCCATTATACTGTGCCTCTGAGTGGTATTTGTTTATGGCTTTTAAAATATGCATAATGTAGCCTTTTTTTCCAGTTTTCTCAGGTTGAAAAAAAACAGCTTAGTATGTCACTCCATGTCTGCTTATAAACTGGGGGGGAGAACAGGGCTTCATTATGCAGAAATGAGCAGTGACTTGTTCAATTGCACTCTGAAGGTAAAGACAGGGCACCATTTGGCTGAATTATCTGGGAGCAAGGTGAGACACAGGGCTTCTGTTTGAGAGCAAGGACTTTAGGGCCCTGTCATCAATGCTTATAGGACTGACTGCACAGTGGCACTCAGCAGTTTCTGTGGTTCCCAAGAACCTGACTTGTTTAAGATGATGCTGACCTTTTCAGGTCTGCTCCACACAAAGCAGCCTGGAGTAGCTTTTGGTGTAAGGTGTGACTGAAGATGAGGTAGGATGTCAGCCACTTTGTCTTTAAAACTTACCTTTAGTAGTGCACATAGCAATGCAAGACCCTGGCTCGCTCTTGCCCTTGGAAAATGGCAGGGATACTTCAGGTAATGACCAGCCATGGAAATATCTCGTGGAAGCATCATTAAAGTCAATGAGCAGTCCCACTGTGTGTGCTAGTGTGATATCCACAGGGCGAGCTGAGTTTAACATGTTTTATCATGAAGGTTACCACAAAACATTAGCTTCCTCTTTTACTTTCACCTTCCATCCTTGAAGTTCTGTTTCACACCCTGTCCCTATGCTGAAATGAGGTCAACCATAGGTTAGTCCCACTTATTCCAGAAGTGGGGCAAAGCCAAAACAGGGATTTTTCTACCAAGAACTTGAATAAGCAGAAGGTGGAGAAGGAGATGCAGCTGGCAGAGCAGAAGTATCCTAGCTTCTGTGAGGTGATAACAGCAAAGAAGAGTAGAGCTTTCTGGATATGATTTTGTTTTGGTTTTATTTTAACAGCTTATTTGGTAAACAGCTGTGCTGACCTGCCTCTCACATTGTTTTGCCTTACACCAGCTCTGCTGCCTTGTAGCTATCCACAGGAGGTGGCTGAAGACTTCACAGTGGGTTTCCAAAAAGCTTCAAACTGCTTTGGGAATTACTTCCAGATCTACACAACAGTTACTTGAGGATCAGAATTCTGATCTTCTAGGAAGGCAACGCATTTTACTGTCACTAGACAACTTACTAAACTGCCTGTTAACAAATTTTACCACTGGCACTGCCAGACCCCTGAATGAAGGATTTTAAACAGATTTTTGATACCAAGGAAGGCTCATAAACTTCTGACGATGCTGGAAGTGGTTATAACCTGTCAAGAAACCACCTCCAAACAGCTGTCCCAGTTGCTGTGCCTGTCAGCACCTTGTCCCAGTGTTCACAGCTTCTCCTTTGCTCATGCTTTGTTGTTTACCAGTGTATTTCCACAGGGCACGGTACTTGGGAAGATTGAATTTGAAGGTCAACCTATGGAGTTTGCAGACCCAAATAAGCAAAACTTAATTGCAGAAGTTTCAACAAAGGTGAGACGTTTTTCTGTAGTTCCAGGTGGTAACTGCTCCCCATGTCCTTTGGGGATCATTCCAGTCTTTCTAAACAAACAATTTAGGGACCTTTTCTAAATTCTATGCCTTTCCAGACCTTTGAAGGACTGTGATCTCAAGAACATCCTTGTGGAATCCTCATAGCTCCTTAGGTGCAGTGTTGAAAGAGATGTAAGATGGGCTGTTTTATCAGCCAGATGTAGTCTGAACAGAACTCTGATCAGGGAATTGTCTGTTACAAAGACAGGATTGAGAGGTATTGGGGATACAGTTAGACCTAGTATGTGCTGGTCCTTTTCAAACAAGAAGAATTAATTTTAAAAAATGGCTGCTTTCCTCAAATGAACTTCAGGAAAGCTCACAGTAACACTTGATCATCTGTGTTCAGGCATCATTTTGCTGAGGTGATTCCAGAAGATATTTCTAGATTTCAAAAAAAGACCAAGGTATGAATCCCCTGGATCTATTACTACTGGTGCTGGCTGCTTTGTCTGCAGACATGTACAAAACAGCAGTTAAGTCTGTACACTGTTAGCTAGGCTTGCAAGCTATGTTTGACCACAAGCTGAGAAGGACATTACAAATTATAAGGACATAACAGACCAGCCCCATACTAAAACTAGTAACGATTCTTGTACGAATGCAAGGGCTAAGGTCTTAAATTGCGGTTCCTCTAGGGATTTAACTGTGAGATAGTGTCTTGAATGCTTAATCACATTGACTGAAGAGAGAACTCAGTGTATGAGTCCCTTTTACAAATCCTGTGCTTACTGCGGTGGTTGCAGTTCCCTCAAGATCAGTGAGGCTCTGGAGGTGCTCTGCTCGTGTACTGTTCTGCACACAAGCTGGTGAGTTAGTGGCATGAGTGAGAAGCAGTCCTGAAGAGACTGATCGGTGAGCAAGTGGGAATTTGAAGCACAGACTCTATCCAGACTTAGATTTACAGCAGTAACCGATTAGCTGGGATGCCACTGGAATACACAGACAGCCTTGCAGATCTCGCCGTCTGGGATCTCACCAGCTCCTGCCACTGCCTCCACTGTATTTTGAGTCAGGGCCCCGTTGCTACACAGAAGAATGGAAATTGCTTATTGAGGTTGTGATCTATGATTGCAAGATGCAGGTGGAGCCATTTTGAGCAGTAACTCAGAAATGGGTAAGGTTGCTGATGCTAAACTCTGCAATTACTAAGGCAGAATTACTGTAAGGATGCTGAAAATAGCTTCTATAAGGGAGATGGACATGATAATCTATCTGTAGCCAAACAGCTGTTTTCATATAAATCAGGATACAGTAAAATCTGGAATCTGCTTATCAATTGTACGTTAGGAGTGATTGATTTTTCTTCCCCCTCCCCTGCCTTGTTTAGATGCTAGTGGTATAGGCTCTATTTGCTAACATTGCCTGTACAGGGCAGGGAACACGCCGGTATTTTGCAGTAACTTTTGTCAAAGATGTATTTTGGTGCCTGTGAAGGCCAGAGTCCCACAGCAGATGAGAGGTATTTAATCACTTGGAGCTTTTAAGGTTAGTTCTATCCACAGATACAGCCCCACATGCTCTTTGTTCTCAGCACTATTGCCAGCAGGAGTTTCTGCTCTCCCTGACTGCTGGCTCGCAGCCTTCCCATATCATAGGCTGTATGGTGAGCAGATGAGGTAAATCCTCTGGCTTTAGATGTAATATACATTTTTACAGTTCCCTGATCCAGTTCTCGGTCTGGTTTCTGTCTAGACATATTCTCGGCCAGATGCAGGGGTCAGTGGTCTGTGGTACAGAGGAGTAATAAGAGTGAGAAGTGAGGGGATGGTTGTGAAGACAGCAACACCTAAAATCAGTCTTGCTGCTGAAGGAAATGTAACAGATCATAGCCTAATTAATTTGACAGGGGAGAATTTTGAGAGTGAGATAATTAAAGTACCTGAAAGCAGTTTTGTCCCACAGCTCCCTCTGGCCAGTAGAACAGCCAAGGAGAACCTTTGAGGGAGATCGTTGCTTCATGATGTTTTGCAGGTTTTCAAGTATGGGTGTTGTGAGGAATTGAGGGGTCTCCAAAAGCCCTTTTAAAAGAGAGTTTGAGTTTTCATTGAGGTGCTCTGACACATGACACTGAGCTTGTTTCTGTGAGAATTGAGCTCCTTAATCTTCTTAGATTGTTGAAACCCACCTCCCAGAAACCTGAAGGATGGCAGGTAGAAGACCCATACAGATCCTATGCAATTATACAGTTCCACTGTGGACTGTGAAAGTAGTATCCACTTGTGTGTTGGTGACTGTGAAGATATTGTCACATTTGAGAAACATGACACGTTTGAAAAGAAGCTTCTTCACATCAGAAGCTTTGAGTGATCTAACAAAACCCAGTTTCAATAGAATTTCCATTCGACTCATTCTCAAAAAGGGATATTGGGGTTCTTTGCCATCTGATTATATAGTGTGAACTACAAGATGTGTTCTAGCCCCGAGCTATAATTTTCTTTATAAGTGTTACAGCTCTCTCTATCAGCATAATGGTCCAAATTTGGGACTGATGACAATTTACTTGGTGGAATGGGTTAAGGAACAGCAGCTGGAAGAGGAGAGGTGTTGTCTGATATGTAGAACTGTCGGGTCTGTAAGAATGTAGGTGGTGCTCAGTGGCCTGCTTGGCCTGGTCTGTGCTGCTGTGATGCACTAGAGGTCAGTCACAGGACATCTCCAGCTGTGCTATGCTCCAGTCTTACTGTGGCTGGAGAGTCAGGGTAGTGGTTAATGTGGTGGATCTGTAGCTGGTATGAAGTAGCCTTGCTCCACTGGCATCAGCAGGATGACTTCACTCGAGCTGAAAATATCTTGCTGTGTATCTGGCATTTCTCTTGGGCTGCAATAATTTGTGAGAACTGGCTTGCTGCTTCACTGGTAATGAGGTGAAGCACAGGAAAAAAGCTTGTCATTAGCTATGGAGACAAGTGATTACTTAGGGATTGCTGTTACTGCTGTAATCAACACTACATAGAAGAGCATTATAACTTCTACTTTCACAGAAAAATGAAGGAAGCGCTAATGTCTTGCAGTACTTCTAGAGATTTCCATTTAAACTGATCGTTAAGTTGCTGCATGCTGGTGAAAAGTTATTCTATCCATATTCCTTGTGTTTTGGGGGTGGGAGGTGCCTGTCGTTTATGGCATGGTCTGTCTTTTTGTAGGAAATCAAGGTTTATGGCAGAGGGAATCCAATTAAAGTTGTAGCTGTCGACTGTGGGTTGAAGCACAATGTTATCCGTCTGCTGGTAAAGGTAGGTTAGTACTTTATATCCTTTATGTCTGGTTTCGCTTTGGTAAAAGCCTTGCCTGTATTCACTAGACTTTCTTCCACCTCAACACATTCATTCTGGTAGCAGTTTCCTTTCTAAAATGAGGTACAGTTTTTAAGGTTATTTTTATGCACTGGGAGGTGTTTTCTGAACGTGGTATGTGGTATTGACGGGGTAAGAGGACCTCTCAGCCATGGGAAGAATTCCTAGAAGGTGAGCTTTAAAAAGGCACAGTCTCTCTGAAGAGCAACCAAGAAAGGTCAACCCAACACTGTCAAAAATAAATAAATCGGGGGAGAGATTCACAGTGAGGGTTGTGACCAGCTGAAACAGTTCTCTGAATCTGTGACAATCTTTTTCTGTTGTTAGCACGGTTGTGTGGCAGTCCTTGCTTCTCTAGCTGCACAGGAGGAATGAAGGCAGCATCCTCTCATTCTCTAGATGTGCAGTGTTTCCTTCTTGCCATCTTTTCGTTTATGTGGATGTTGTCCTATTTTTGATGCACATCACTACTTCTGACATGTCATATAGTGAGGCTGTGAAGCCCTGATTTAGCAGTTAGGGTGAATGCACCATGTAAATGTGACTGTATTTTACATGTGTGCATACACACTTATTTTGTATTGCGTTCCTAAGTTTTGATCTCATAATTGAATTTCAGACAGACTTCACAAATACTGAGCTCGCTCAAAGTTACTAAGTCTGCCAGTTATGTGAAAATAATTTGGTCAGGTAGTGGAGAGAAGCCTCATTATTGTCTGTGGCAAAGAAATAGTGAAATCCAAAGTCACCCTCTGGAACGTGAGAGCATGGGAATAACCACCTAACACAAATTCACTTGTTTGCCTTCTCTCCTCATTACTTGTTCCCTTGGCTTTTTCCTAGCGAGGTGCAGAAGTGCATTTGGTTCCATGGGATCATGATTTCACCAGCATGGAGTATGATGGACTCATAATTTCTGGAGGTCCAGGGGATCCCATGAAGGCCCAGGAGGTGATTCAGAATGTCAGAAAGGTACAGTGTAACAGCCATAGGCCAATTGTTCTGGTTTATTCACCTTTTTTTCAAGTGCCTTAAATCTAAACAGTTGGTTGCACTAACGTATTATGGACAAAATGTCATGCAGTCATTTCAGCTGCCTGGGATATTCCTCATCTTGGTCCACTAGGAGTTGTCTCCAAAGCAGTAGTTACAATAAGGCTATGCAGACCTCGGTGAACAGTGCATAGCAAACCTGATTACCATGATTACCTTACTGGTGTCTTAAAGTACCCTGTGCTCTTTCAGGACCTCTGTGAACCTATGAAAGAACAGTCCTGATTTCACAGTGCTCCTGTTTGAAATAACGTTATATGAAGTGTCAGGGCTTATTCCTCTCGAGTAGACCAAGACATCAAGCTGTGCTCTGAGGCTTCCCTCCGAAGCAGAGGAGAGAAGGGAATTTTCCTTTATAGAATTGCCACCCTTGCGTCCAGCATTTTCCCAGGTCTGTGTGGCTGCTGTAAGGGAACTAGCATGGTTTATACTGGATTTGTTGAACAGAGACACTCCAGTATGTCTTGAAAACCTTTTTGTTTTAGGTCCTGGAGAGCGGTCGCCCAGAGCCCTTGTTTGGAATTAGCATGGGGAGTCTAATCACTGGGATAGCAGCTGGAGCTACTTCCTACAAGATGCAGATGGCCAACAGGTGCGGCAGCTCTTCTGCTTCCCAGGGCCCTGGTAGACAAGCCCAGCATCGCAAAAGGCCACAGAGCAGCAGTGCTTTGCTTCTGACCTGCCTTAACAGGAGCTAGCGTGTCAGTAACATTACTTCTTTATTCCAGCCATTCTTCTGGCCTTTAATTTAAACTACCATGTCATGCATTACTTTTTTTGAGGGTGTTTTGAAAGTCTGTGATGTAATTCGTCCCCATCGGTCTGAAGGATAGCAAAGTTTCTCCTAGGATTTCTCATTTTGAGACTGGCTGCCAGTATTGAACAGCTCCTACAGAACTGCTGTCCATAGCCCCCCAGTTGTCAGCTCTTCCTAATTGTGGCGTTTGGACACATCTGGCACTTCCGTCCTCTGTTCTCTGATCCTTTCTCTTTCAGAGGGCAGAACCAGCCTGTCCTGAATGCAGTGAATGGGCAGGCTGTCATCACTGCTCAGAACCATGGTTATGCCATCGACAGCTCTACCCTCCCACCTGGCTGGAAACCTCTCTTTGTGAATGCCAATGATCAAACAAATGAGGTGAGCACTTGCTTTCCAGATACCTGCACATAGCAGCCTCTAGTAAGTAAAGGCTCTGTCGTGATTTATTTCACCTCCTGAAGCTTGCTATCAGATTGCAATTAGTTATCAGGACTAGACTTGATGATCTGACTATCTACTTTACTTGGGGCCCTGCCTTACAGCCCGAAATGGGGTGAGCTGTTACCACTGTACTCCGTACTAGCCCGAAGTGTAGAATTGCAACAGTGACCTTATGATTTCCCTTGAACAGCTGCCCTGTGAACTTGTGATTTCCCTACCATTAGTGATGCTCACCCAGTTACTGTTTTAGGACTTGTGCTGCAGGTGTGCTAGCATGTTTCACTGCTTTGTTGTGTTGGTTCTGTGTTGTCCAGTGTGGAAAAGGAATATTATTGCGGCCTACATTGGTCTGTTATTGTAAACAGAGTTCCAAGGACGAAAGTCATGAGGGAGAGAGGCAGTTGCCTCTCGAGAACAACTTACATGATCTAAGGTAAAGGTCTCATGTCAAGTAATGTCCATGTAGGGA